AAGCTGAGCAGAAATCAAGAGGGCTGACTCGCTGATGTTGCCGTTCGTCGTTTGTCATCATTTTGTCCTATTGTTGTCGTGGAAAGGGATGTTGACTTATCTTCTAGTAATATCACCATCCACTTTACATGATGACAATAGGAAAAAATGTAAATTTAATCAAACTTCTAACTTCTCTTTTCATGGAACCTCAGCATTGTTGTAAAGTGTTCTTTTCTGCCAACAAGGTTTTCAGGTGGAGACTGTATCGGAGGCCTGACGTTTCGACGAGATCGTCTTCTTCAAAGGTCCAAACGTGGCCCAAGGTTTGGGAGCTGTTCTTCAAACCGTCAAACGCCTTCCCATCAGCGTTTCTGATGGAGCGTTAGAGTAAATGGCCGAAAATTCGCTCTCAATCCATTGTCGCTGAGACGTGCCAATCAAATTATAGCCTTTATGTAAAGACAGTACAGTAAGTCTCAGTTACCAACCATTAACCTGGAGTGGCACTGTTCTGTTCTTGCGGTGGTGGATGGGTGTTTATTTCCCTCGATTTTCGATTATTCCCATTATCGTTCCGCCACAGACGCTAGGGAGAAGTTTCGTGGATTTAAAGGACGCAAACCCGGCAAGAGACTTTGTGACGCTTCTTCGGTCTGCAGTTGCCCCAGAGGACAGTTACAAATGTGGCGCTCCCGTGCACATAAACCAACCGACAAGTGTGCTTGGGCCTTGCAAAGTAAGCTGCTGACTGGCGCTCTTTCATCTGTAGCGCTCTCTCGCCCATACTCTCCTCTCGCGTTTAGTCTCTCATTCCCTGAGCACAGCGATAATTGGAAGGTGAGCGAGCCTTTAGCCCAAGAGTTTTTTGGACGGATTCTTTCCCGTTTTTGTTCACTCCCGACCAGGGTCAAACCCTACGTTGTTACGAGTAACAACGGGGGGGTCGTACTCAGTTGAGCTTGGAGGGAGGGGGGTCGTACCCTCTCGGTGGCCGACAGTGGGATTCTTGGTAATATCGGATAATAGCCAGCACGTTACGTTTTCGTAAGATGACTGATACAGCATCTATAAACCACGATTCCCTCTAAATGAGCTTTCAAATGAATCAGCGAATTAGAAGGGCGCCCGAGGCGTGGCGCGCACCAAGGCAAGGGATGTAGTGCAAGCGCATGCTCGGAGCTTTCTAGCACATCCTTAATTAAACATAAAATTGGTCTTCCAAGAAGTTACGGGCAGTGAAACCTAAGAAAACTCGCGTTTTCGAGAAAATGGCTTGAAGAATACCCCTCAAAATAAAAGTAACAACGGGACTAATTTTTGAACTGCTGATCTTTCAGGAACGCTTGGGTGCTCGTTAGAAAGCTTGAATCCTGTAGTTTATTATACGTGTTCAGCTTCCCAAATGAATGACTTTGAAGGAAGTTATGATCATTTGAAGGTCAAAAAGTCGCTTTGCACAGAAAAAAGTAACAACGTACTAAATTTTTATTAAATTAACTTTCGAAGAATTTTTACCTATGGTTGGAGAGAGAATAATTTGAATTTTCCAAATCAAATCACTTCGGCGCTGAAGCTCGAATATGAAGGAAGTTATAGCCTTAGAAAGAGGGGTGTAAAAATTGTGTTGCAATTGAAGAACGTGAAGGATTTCACTATTTCAATTGGAGCGATAATTTTTTCTGACTTCTTATAAGTTTTTATCAGGTAATGTTGTCAATATTACGGTCACTGGTTCAGCTTATTTCATCTCCTAGTTTGGTAACCCTTTGGAGTACACGGATATCTTTGAATGCATCTCATTTTTTCGTGTTTGCAAGCAGCGATGAATTTCTGTCGTGGATTTTGCTAAAGTTTCATCTTTGACTTACGTAGAAATAAATATTGATGGTAAACACTGTCTCTACACAAGTGTTACATACAAAGGGGGGGGGTCGTATCAAACCACCTGAAGGGGGGGGGGTCGTAAAAAATTTCCGAAGAGTAACAACGATAGGGTTGACCCTGGTTCCGACCAGTTCCAACACACAGATGAATTCTTGATGTAGGAACACAACTAATAAGATCCTGGGGCATGCCTTCATTGGAATCTCGTATTTAGAATTTAGCCACTTGCAGACTCTTGAGGAGCGTCGTCAGGAGCGTCAGCCACTATTCAAGTCTTTCACCAAAAATCTTGTTGGCAGAAGAAAGGAACATTACACAGTAACTGTGGGAAGATATAATAGATTAATTGGGCCGCTCGAATCAATTGCCATTCGAATCATTTTGGCAGTTTAGAGCCGAATTACTCCACAAGTAGCCTCAGGATGCGGAGCATGATTCACAGCGCATCCCTGATCATCTTTTTCCGCCATTGACGTGTCATTTAGCACCTCGATGTCCCTTCCAAACCCTTCCCGAACATATCGTTATCGCTGTCTGAAGACCTCTTATCCACAGAGAAATGGAAAATCGCTGGCATAGGCTGCACCTGATCCTAGGATAAAATTAAATTATACTCGATATCGGTGAGTTGGGGTGGGCGTGTCACCGGAAGTGACGTGCACTTGATAGAAACTATGTGGATAAGCTGCTTCCAACATACATCGCTGGCTATCAGCAAAGCATGCTGGCAACAGCTTATCCACGCACTTCTATCAAGTGCACGTCACTTCCGGTGACACACCCACCCCAACTTTCGGATATCGACTGTAGAATAGAGCCGGAGAGAGAGCTTGCCGAAGACTACGAGAAAGACAGCCTCAGAAACCGCCGAGCGGAGGGAGCGAGCGGAACGCAGATAATAGCGAGAGGGTGTAGTGAACAGGCGCTTGGAATGCCCGTACATTTGCAATTCCTAACCTAGCTTTCCTACCAACACTCTAGAGTTACAGTAGCACTACGTCTGCAGCTGTGGATGAAAAAATACTCACTCCTATTAGGTTGGCGGGAAAGTTATGTCCCACTTTTTTTTATTGGTCTATCTCCTCTCATTTTGGCGGCGTCTGAGCGGCAACGTTAGCAACAACAGACAAGGTAATATGCTTCTACCATTATCATTGAATTTTTCTTACTCCCCCTTTTTGCAGTATGGAGAGCAATTTTGTCCCAGATCGTCAGCACCTGCGTCATGTCACACTTTTCTCTATCATTCTGGCTCTAATATGAAGGCTGCCGAGACCAAAATACAATGGACTTACAGACACAATGTGCCTTTATGTTACACGTGCTTCTCTTCTTTCTCCCGCTCATAATAATCGCCTAGGTCTTCTGTTCACGGAATGGCAACAACACGGCTGCTCAGTGCGGTGCTCTGATAGGACCAATACGGTGCTGCCTCGTCATTGCGACCCTTGGACCTTTCTCAGTGTAAAGCGAAGGAGGGCGGTAGGTGACTTCCTCCAAAGGCACACGAGCCTCCTTGCAACACGCTTTATCTCCGACCCATGTTGCTGTTGGGGATTCAAAGAAGTACCCCAAAAAATAAATTGCTCAATAAGAAATTATTCTCAACTGAAGGGGGACGGCTTTGCGATCGTCTGCAGACTTATGCGTAACAGAAATATATCAGGATAAAGTCCCAAATAAAAGGTTCATTCTAAAACGTTACACGTCATGTGGGATTGAAAGCAGTTGGAAGAGGTTTCTTTACAGATGGATTAAACAAGAGTTGAAGATCACCGATTTCCTCTTAAGTATGAGCACTCCCTAAGGGTGCTGAACCGACACTCATTTCGCAGCGAAGGATATGCCCCGGCAACCTAACATAGCCCTCCCTGCAGCGCAATTGGCGCGGTACGCCTCCTCTCTGTCTGACCCTCTAGCCGTTTAGCAGAGAGAGCGTTAGCGTTGAAGAGGGCAGCACCGATGAGAGTCGCATCAATGCGGAAATCAACGGGCAAGGAAGGGGTCCCATTTCTCGGGTTCTGGGCCGTTTCTCATGGTTTCTTTTCTTCTTCATCCCTGCACCACTTACCATTTCTACCTTGATCTCTAATGGGCTATTTTTTCGTTGTGAAATCCGCCTTTAAAAAATTAACGGTGCCCCTCCATTTCCCAATGTTGCTCCCCATTCTTTTATGTGAGCTTGTAGGTTCTTCGAATACCTCGACCTCGAACGTTTCGGCGGCTCCGAGTATGTTACGTAGAGAAACAAACGATGAAGGCTGTTCTGCTCAGAAGATCGTTTATTTTGCCGCTTGTTACAGAATGTATTGCGGCAAAGAATAACACACACAAACTGGTTCTCTTTTCAAAAGAAAACTCACCAACAGTCGAAAAACGGACGAAACACGGTGTTTGCTTGCCGATTTTACTGAAGATGTCCGCTTTGCAGTACTTTGTGATATCGTGAGTAACCTCGAATATGCCATGAGCTCCTGAAACAAAGCTAGTGGATGAAGCAGAAGAATCAGAGTGAAGTGTACAAGAAATCCAATTTGGGATTTGGGAGTCATGTGTGGGAATTTGGGCGCTCATGTCGCTAGGGGGGACACTGAAGTGACTAACAGAATTCGGGACTGAGCCTTATGAGAGGGATGGTATTCTGAGGAAGGACGAGAGCCACCTCTTGTTCTCCCTGGCGTTTTTCCCCACTCTTGAGCTTCCTGCAGTCACTTACCAGCAGTTCTTAAATGCCCTGTCTCTGGTTTTTCCCTAAGGTGCCCTGTGAAGAAATGAGTGTCGGATTGCATTTCCTATAATTGGAAAAGAAGGGTAAAGGTTTTTTGCTAAAAATGGTATAACGGGCATAGAATGTAAATTTTGCTGTTCACCTACTTCTACTCGCCGCCCCGCTCAACGGCAATTTTGAAGGGGATTAGGTGTGGAGGCAAGCTTGTGTGGTTACTACATGCAACGATGACGGGGGTCGTACTGCCGTGGCCATTTCCTAGCGCTCTTTATGTCACACATACTTGAACCTTGTTCCGCCGAAGGAATCGGCCCGTCGTGCATATGTGCTCGATGTATTTTTCCGACTTTGTCCGTGCCAACATGTACAAGCTAAAGCGCATGGCGGTGAACTGTCCCCTTCTGCGGCGCGCCACGCATGTGACTTCCAGTTCAGAATCGCAGTGCAATTTTGAAGTTCTTATGTAATTCCTTCAATGAGTTGCTTTGATCTACTGAGCGGTGCAAGTCAGCGTTGTCATTTTCCAAGACAAATCTTGGCATCAGTCAGATTGATTCGGACCGAGAGAGATAGAGGGCGACTTAGTTACTCTGAATGCCTCCTGCTAAGGGACCCGGTCCTTTAATTGGCACACAATATCGGCGCTACTTACTATGGCGCTCATGTTCTTAGGAGGGAAATTGATGTGAGTGGGCCACTAATACAACTCGGGACTAGACCTTAGAGAGGGGAAAGGATCCTGGGGAGAGGATGTGGGCAACCATTGTTCTACCTGGTGTTTATTCCCAATCCTGGGCTTAGTCCTGCTTCCACCTACCAGCAGGTTTTGAATGTCCTGTTTTGAATGTCCTCCCTAGGGAAATGAGCGCCCTTGCCGTTGCCACATCCATGGGAGAGCTAGAGACAAGTATGGAGAACTGAAGCGCATACCTCCTCCTTTGGCGTGGACCACTCTTTCGGGGATCCTTTCGCGATCAAAATGTGCCATTTCGTCCATGTATATAACATCTTGCATTAGCAATGGTCCCCTAAAAAAGGGATTTCATCTCAATGGCAACTAAAAGTTTATTTCCAGAAAGGTTGCTCAATATTCTCCGTCACACCCGCTTCTTCAAAATCCTAAGAGAAGAAGTGGCAGGTGTTCAGAAAAATGCTTATTGTTCATATTTCCGACCAGTGAAGCTCACCGGAAAAAAGTTTCTAAATCCCATGCAATTCCGAATGAAACCTCGACGCCTCGATGATGAACAAAACTGCTACGTGAACTTGCCAGGAAAGTCGTTAGCGATCAAACTGGTCCCACGTTCGACTCCTGTGATGAGAGAACTTTGCATTCTATGTTAGCGCCAGATTGGTGCCAAATGGCGCCGGCGCAAAGAACAGGTGTCATCTTCGTAATCAGAGCCATCAGTGTTCTCCCAAGTAGTCTTTCATCAAATATCATTATACCAACTCTGCATGAACAGCCAACTTTGACCGCTCACAGCCTCCTTGGCAGACTCGCGCAGCAGTTTGCTTTTCAAATTTGTTACCCGCACCGGCTCTGTCGATCTACCTAGTTCTCAATTCAATGTTCCATGGGAACTTGATTTTGTCCTGGTCGGAATGCGCCCGCAGCACAAAACATGTGGAGCTTTTGAGAGCACCTAAGATTCCTGAAATTCCGGGTAATCTTGAACTTACGGTTCTCACCTGGGTCCAGCAGTGAGTACATTAGTTTTGTTGGCAATCGGAACACCGTTGGACGTTGTCAGCACATTTGGTTTCTGGAAATATAGCCCCACTGATGTCTTCCTCTTGAATGAAGATTTCCTGCACTTACCGGCTGGCCCTTCTTGAAGTTTTCCAATTGCATATCGCTAGGATTAGGCATCTTGTTCGTCGACTGGGTTGCTTTGTCGCTTTCTGCAAAGAATGAGACTCTCTAAGTTAGCTTTTATTGTGATAATGAAGGATGTTTAGACGTGAGAGGTAGTAAGGTATTGGAAGGTAGAGATAAGATATCGATAGCTACGAAAATCTCCATATCATACTGAAATCCTGACCTAACAGGTGAATCCTAAAGATTACGAGCAGACGCCCCAGGAACAGAAGGGGAAGAATAAAAAAACAGTTTCTCGGTCATCTGTCACGCGCTGTGAGAACGGAGTAGCGAACGACGAGATTTTTGCAATCAACGGCTGAAGTTTCCAAAAATGCTAAGGAAGATTTTAGGTGCAGAAGTGCAACATCGATGAGAGTCGCAGCAATGCGGAAATCCACGTTCAATGAAGGAACACATTTCTAAGGTCCTGGACCCTTTTTCTTGTTTTTTTCCTCTTTCATCACTGAGCTTCTAGGAGCTAATTTCCAGTGGGCTGCTCTTCATCGTAAAATCCGCTTCTAAGCTCTTGTGATTGAACCATGGTAGGGTTGAAAAGCCAAACGCATTATCTGTTACATAGTGGGATCACTAACGGGTGATCTTTCGCCTTATTCAGCACTCACAACCTCTTCTTTTTCAGACAATCGATAAAAGTAGTTCATCACTGATAGCCAACTAGACAACTAGGCCACAGAATGTTGACCTAGATACATCATTCCACTTTTTGTACACCTCAAAAGCTGACAGCAAGATGAAGTATTAGGTTGGAAAATGATATCACAGCACTAATACTCGGCACATATCTTTGAAACGATACTTAGCAACACAAAACTAATCAGTGATGTTCGTTTCGCAATTACTTACGACTTTGATTTCATTTCGCAGAAACTCTCCGGTCTGGAATAGAAAATGATATCAAGCTCTTTTTCACAGTTCTTGTTACTGAGAGCTTGTAAATGTAGCTTGAAGTTGTACGAAACGTGAAAGGTTGGTTGGAGGAAGAACTAATGAGTACGATGAAATCTGGAGAATTTCCATTTTTTGTTTCTATAAAGGCCAGGGAATAGCAGTTGTAGAAACGTCCGTGGATTTCCAGACTTGTAGCGCTATATCTGAGTATTTGTGATACTGAACACGACGAAAAATATGTTATTGTGAGCAGAAAGAGATTTTAGAGACATCGTTTAGCGTTAAAAAACATGCTATCGTATGGTAATTACAATACTGATACTAATTTTTGTTCAATCGACGGTTTTGCGACGGGTAAAAACCGTCGCAAACCGTCGCCCTCGCCATAACTCTTGAAAAAATGTTTCGCTCGACCTGCAGTTATACCATCTGATAGCTCTGCTCGAGATCTACAAGATGGTTAAATTCAATTTCTGAAAGAGCTCCATCTAGGATTGCGCCATGCACTCGACCTCCATCCCGAGAAGTAATGAATATACTTTGTATGTGATGCGCATATAAGTCCTCTTTTGCAGCCTGATCATCCCACAGAAACATGGATCTCAACACTTGCCTCAGAATACGCCACGTACACAATCTATCCACCATATTGTGAGATTGAATGAATGTTTTTTTTTTCGAATTCCACGATCATTACTTCGTTCTAGAGCGCTAGTTGGCCGAACGTGTTGTCTCTGCGCTCATCAACCCATTCTTCCATTTCAAATGGGAGCTTTCGATCAGTTTCCAGCAGTGGTAGTAGGCCTATTAAGATGCATTCCCTCACTTTTAGAGGAAGCAGATGCTCTGTAGAACTGAGAACGAATAGCGAGAATTATACCTCCCGGCTCTGGACTCGGTTACCTTGTCATGTGAAGCTGTAAAGTATTTGGTCGCAGATGAGCGCTTCCTTCCGTGGTGTGGCCCCAAGCATCACTGCTTCGTCAGTCCTTGTGAAATGATCAGTTTTTTTGCTTGTCCAGATAGGACTTTGGAATCTGAAATGTGCATCATTCGATTTCCCATGAAAAATACTATCGAATGGTGTACAACACAGGTTGCACATGAAACTTTGTTTTTTCACCTTTTTCTCCCCATTGGCGATCGTCCTGACGCCTCCGCCGCACCCCGCTAACCTCCGCAATCTCTCGATCAACTTGACTATTTCAGTTGATTACTGTTTAAGTCACATTACCGGTGTGGCTGCCCATAGTCTCTTCACAGCATGCGTACGTGTTGGCTGCGAAAATGGGCTTGTGATGCATAGTTACCGCGCGGCCAACTCAAACGTTGACCACTCGACGGTAGCCATAAATACATGTATTTACTACTGATCTGCATTACTATCTATGCTTTATTGCATATGTTATGCTCTTTCTCGTTTTGTGTTCTGTCTCGTTCCACCTGTCTATACTTCACAGTTTAAATTCTTTTATTTCTTCGTTAAATTAGATCAATATCGAATAAAGGCCGAATAATTTGACCCGATTGTGCAGAAACTTTGCGCTGGTGATTCTCGAACGATTTTGTTGTAGGCCTGAGGGATTGGAACAGCAATACCGAAAAAATTTGTAAAGGTTGTGGCGTTCCACTCTTCTATCAGCATCCATTCAACTTGAAGCTGGTTTTCATACATATGTTTCGGCGAGGCACTAGCTTTTCTGCTCATGGAACAGTTGGTGAGACTTCAGCGGAAATAACGGAAGAGCAACAGGTTCAGCCCGCCGGCCAAAAAAGTATTTTTTTCAATTCAGTTGACCTGACCCGTAAGACAATTATTAGTTGAAAACGTCGTCTATCATTGATGCTGGTTTCTTGAAAGTCAGCCGTAGATAATCTTAGAGCGAAATACCACATTATATTTGTCGTTCGCAACGCTTATTTTAACCAGTTTTGCTCCGCCCGCTATCGCGCGCATCACACGGCAGGCTTTAGCGAAACTGGAGGACCCATGGAATATCAGCATGAGGTACTCCATTAACCACCTCACTATTGAATGTGTTAGACCTTTCCCAGTTTCGCTGAAGTCCATCGAGAATACGCGTGATAACGTCTGGAGCTGAACTGGCATATTTATCTCACAACTGTAAACATCCAGCATTCTTCTTGAATTCAGATAATTTAGCGGTGAATAGGATTGCTGTCAGTCTCAAAATGAAAATGAAGATAATGCCTAATTTCATATTACTCGAGATCCGTAAGTTGGGGTAGGCGTGTCACCGGAAGTGACGTGTACTTGATAGAATCTATGTGGATAAGGGGCTTCCAATATACATCGCGAGATATCAGCAAAGCATGCTGGCAACGACTTATCTACGCAACTTCTATCAAGTCCACGTCACTTCCGGTGACACGCCTACCCCAACTTTCGGATCTCGACTGTAAGTTCAAGGGGGGGGGAACGGGCTAGAGCGCTTAATCATTTATTTACATTCACGTATTCTTTAGAAACCGAAGGATTTCAGCGGTTTAACTGGAGTATCGGGCTTCCCGTGAAACCGAAGAAATGAAACTTATCATTTGCTGAAGACTTGATTGAGAGTTTATGCAATCGACTGCTATTAAGTAAGCTGGTCATACAATGATACAGTGTGCACGTACCACTACAAATAGAATTTGTAAGTAGGGACGCTCTAGTGTCAGCGCAAGCCACGTAACGGAATCGACGACTTTTGCGTTCTGACGCGCCTTATCAGCCCTTATCAGTTGTAACCACTTTCTCGTCACCTACCAACCAATGTCCCCGTCCCACCCCACATAACTTGTAAGTATGGTTGCTCTGGTGTCAACGCGAGCCAGGCAACGGAATCGACGACTTCAGCGTTCTGGCGCGCCTTATCGGCCCTTATCAATCGTTATCAGTTTCTGGCACCCACCAACAATGTCCCCGTCCCACCCCACATAACACTTGTAAGTATGGTTGCTCTGGTGTCAACGCGAGCCAGGCAACGGAATCGACGACTTTTGCGTTCTAGCGCATCTTATCAGCCCTTATCAGTTGCTATCGCTTTCAATCATGTACCACCAATGTCCCGGGACCGCCCCATAACACTTGTAAGTATAGACGCTCTAGTACCAATATGAACGACAAAACGAAATTGGCGATGCTCGCTTTCTAGCCCCTCTTATCAGCTATTATCAGTCGTTATCAGTTCCTATCACGTACCACTTGTGTCCCCATCCCACCCCTATAACATATGTAAGAACCACTGCGCTATCGTTACTGTGACTCGAGCTATGAATTTCCGGTCAAACACACACACACACAACAGACACACGCTAGCCGCTTATATATAGTAGGATTATTATCCATAGAATGTTAAAAGTCAAGGAAAACGTGGAAATGCAGTTACATGTTTCCATTTGATGGACGGGGAGGAAGAAGAACATGCGGGAAATCTGCAGGCTGGGCTGAGACGCTCATGATGACTTTTTTCCTGTGCCAGCTTTTCAAACGTGTAGATCGCGGGATCGCTCCTATGCGGTATCATAAGACTGGATGTAGTGAGGTGAGCTGCCAAGAGGAAGGATGTCTAAGTTCCATACTTCTCTATTTGTTCCAAATCTACAAAATCGTTGCTTAGCGTTACCGCTATTCGCGAGTTCTTTCACAGTCAGTATCAGACTCAATTCGTTCCAACCGTTCGCTTGATTTTCAGGCACACATTTCAAACAATTATTTACTTCCAGGCCATATTGAATATGCTTATTGTTCACGCGGAAGGCGGGACGCCTAGTTGAACGCTGCTCGAGATGCCTTGGCGAACCAGGGACTGTCATCAGGAGGATAAAACCTGTCAGCGCGCAGGGGACAAATTCACTGGGCGCCGGTCCATTGTGCTGAAAAAGAGCGGGCAACTCGATATTTTTTGGTGTTTCAAAGAGGTATCAATGTAGACTTTTTGATTCCGCATAACTTTTCGCGATGCTCTAGAGGTTTAGCAGCTTGAGTATGAAATTTAGTACCTAGTAACTATTCTGTTTGTCAGGCCACTGAAGCTCTATAGACTGAGATGGATGCACACTCGTCTTTCAGATCGTCGGCCCTTGGACGCAGTAAATGGCCGACTGATGATCTAGTCAGTGCGAAAATTGCTCGAATTATTTTGTAAACAGTTTAGCGCCGCACGCTACCGCGCGTATAAAACGGAAGGTCCGTATGAGACAGGACAGCCGATAAAGCTTTAGCCTCACCGCTAAACATTGAGTTGCTTTGTAAAATGCGTTAGCTGCCCGCTCTATGGGTTGCTCATCTTTTGGCAGAACATTGCACGCTTGTGACGGTGCAGTGGAGTTGGCGGTGTCTGATAAACGAAACCAGCCATTGCATCGAATGCCAGCGTACATGAGCGGACGCCATTCATGTTGTGATGTTGAAATAAAACATTACGGACCGGAACATTACACCATTACATGTTTGTTAGGAAATCTGATCTAGCGGGTCTGAGTGGTGTATATTGTATTTCGGTGATGATAACAACGCAAATGAAAGAATAATTGAAATGAAATGCTTTATCTAAAAGTCTGGTTTTTGAGTGACCTCTATATTCTTGCACATATCGTTACGGCCCTCCTATCAGCCGTAATGCGCTTTCTTTCCCCACCATATATGTTCCCGACCTACCCTCTACATTACCGTTTGGATCCAACGTCTCACTGATGCTGGGACGCGCGCTATGAATACAGTGGAATTAGCGTTTTGGCGCCTTTTATCAGACCTTATCAGTCGTTATCACTTTGGGTGCCCCGCCACATATCTTCCCATCCTACCCTCCCCATAACCTCTTGGAACCAACGCCTCACTGATCCTGGGATGCGCTCTATGGATATCATGGGATTGGCGTTGTTTGATGGCCGCTTGCGTGCGAGCCCTTAGTCGGGTCTTATTGCGAATTGGTCCCGGCCGACCAAAAAGGTTGTGCCTCGCGGTGACCTCCTGACAGGCTAGCTTAGATACAGCGCGCCGACTGGGGCTGCAGCGAGGGTGCGCTGGGTAGAACTTCGTGACAGAACAACGCTGACACACATGACACACGCACAAAGATACTTACGCGGAATATATAGTATCGGTGTTAGGAATTAGCTGCTGTTAGTTTGGTGCTTCTTTGTCTCAGTACTTTTTGTCTGCCAGTTAGCCTGGAATGAGTCACGGGATCATCTAGCCTTTTTTTTGTCCATTAAAGAACATAGACTTTATCCTTCTATTTTATAAAGCGCTAACTTTGTGTGTCGGTTTGTATGTCTGTATGTGTGTGTATGTATGTATGTATGTATGTATGTATGTATGTATGTATGTATGTATGTATGTATGTATGTATGTATGTATGTATGTATGTATGTATGTGTGTCCGTCCGCAAAATGAAGTGAGTGAGAAGGAAGCTCATGGGATAAACAAACCGCTAACAAATCGGGTAGCTTACAGGATTTGAGATATCAATGTTTTGTAGCAGGATAGTTGTGATAACACTCTTAGGGCTATATAAACACCTGCTTAGCACACTTCCGTTCATTCCACATGGTGCTGCAGTGGCAGCTGGAGGGCAGTGGAGAGAGGAAGGGAGGATGAGGAAGGGAAGCGAAAAATCTACCGTCATATCATGATTGTGTCCCTTCTACTGTATGAAACACCATTGTGTTGCATACGCGTCACTTCCAGGAGGTGTTGGTGTCACAGGAGGAAGGGACCATAGCGGAGGATAGAAAGCTTGCGCAGGAAAGGAAGGTCCCGGCGGTTGACGGGGGACTAATCTGGTTAATGAAATATAGCTGATATTCTCTACAAACATCGTTGAAGACGTTGATTATTTATTTATTTATTTGTGCTTGAACACGCCATAAAATTAAAATAGCATGAAGTTAAAAATTTCCAACAAGCTGTCAAAAATATCAGTAACAAAACCAGTGATAAACCAGCGACCTGAGGTTGAGTTCACTAGGCCTATCTGCGATCTACAAGAAGAGACGTATGAGCTTGCAAGCCAAGCGGATGTGTGATTATAACAAAAGTGCTGGTATTTATTTCTGCATGACAGTCGATTAGATGTGCGGACGAGCTTCCTAAATTCGACATATTATTCAGCATTCATTAACACACAATTATGTTTTTGGAACAAGCAAGTCGAATTAATTTTGCACAGGCAATGTTAGAGCACCAAATGCTACCGTCTACGTGCTAGTTTTATTGCCCTTGTTTGGAAAATAGTTCACAGCCCTTGAAAGATGCAACTCAGAAATCATATATTGAATGAATCAATGGGTATTTTTGCACGTTAACGACAGCCCTTCGTGTACGTATCCCTTCATCTTTTTTTTCTCTTGCAAAATCGTCATCATTACCCCTTCAAAATTAGATTCCTTCTAATCAGTTAATTTTTTTCGAGATTCCGACAATGCACATGGACAGTTCTGAATATGAAAAGGCGAAAATGTGAAGCGCATGCACATTGGCTGTCGTCAATGTTTTAAGCTTATTTAATGATTGCTTCATTTGCTAGGCGCTTCATTGTGAGAAAGTTTGAGGGACTTTCTACCACAACCTAATCAATTGTGACATGGAAAGAGTAGCGAGCAGATACTGGGTGAAGGTCATGATAAGGAGTAATCATCGTTTCTGCGGCGATAGAAAAGCGGGATTGTTGAAGAAGCGGTAGAGTGAGGTGAAGTGAGCCTCATGCATTATCTCGCTGGAACTTCAATGAGCATTTAAGTTGGTTTCGGTACAAGAGCCAAGGGCATTCGTGTGGACGTACGCTACCTCTCGAATCTGCGCTTCGCCGATGACATCGTTCTTTTCTCAAGTAGCACTACGGAAGCTGAGACGATGCTCGCTGAACTTGAATGAAGCAGGAAAGAAGGTGGGGTTGCGGATCAACCAAAAAAAGACACGGTTCGTGAAGGACGCTTGGTCCGATGGAAGCGGAAGGCCGATGTCATAGTTTGCGAATCGAGCGAATCGCTGATCCGAGCGTTGCGCCAGCGAATCGAACGTTGCACCAGCGAATCGAACTTTGCGCCAGCGAGTCGAACTGGTACCAGTTCGACTCGCTGGTACAAGTTCGACTCGCTGGTGCAACGTTCGATTCGCTGGTGCAACGTTCGATTCGCTGGCGCAACGCTCGCGAATCGCTCGATTCGCAAACTATGACATCGGCCTCAAGATTGACGGCACACTATCAAGGAAGCCACATATTACGTTTATCTCGGGCGTTCCAAACATGGACAACGATAGGCCGATGTCATAGTTTGCGAATCGAGCGATTCGCTTCCGAGCGTTGCGCCAGCGAATCGAACGTTGCACCAGCGAGTCGAACGATGTACCAGCGAGTCGAACTAGGTACCAGCGACTCAATAGTGGCGGGACCCAACGTTTAAAGGAAGCCCGCCACTTTCAAACAGTGTCCACTGTCAAGTCCCGCCACTTTCAAACAGCGTCCACTGTCACGTGACACTGTTTGAAAGTGGCGGGCTTCCTTTGAACGTTGGGTCCCGCCACTATTGAGTCGCTGGTACCTAGTTCGACTCGCTGGTACATAGTTCGACTCGCTGGTGCATCGTTCGATTCGCTGGTGCAACGTTCGATTCGCTGGCGCAACGCTCGGATCCAGCGATTCGCTAGCGAATCGCTCGATTCGCAAACTATGACATCGGCCTATGAGGGAAGAGCTAGGAAGGCGACAGAGAGCAGCGTGGGCGGCCTTCGGTCCTCTGAAAGAAGTTACCAACCATCTGGCTGATCCAGAACTTCGTGCGCATTTGTTTGACTCTACAGTTCTTCCTGCGCTTTGTTACGCGGCTGAGACATGGGTGAGCAGTGCATCCACGTCAAGGACTTTGACTGTAGCTCACAGAGCGCTCGAGCGATGTCTTTTGAGGTTTAATCGATTTACTCAATATCGAGCCGGACTCCGCAGCGCAGACCTACGCAGAATGTCCCGTCTCCGAGACCCTGTGGAGTACATGACAAACGCCAAGCTACGATGGGCCGGTCATATCATGAGGAGAGCAGATGACAGATGGACAAGAAGAACGGTAGAGTGGGCTCCCGTAGGATTTCGCGGTCCAAAGGGAGACCTGCTGCGAGATGGGGAGATGCACTCGTCAATCACATAAAGCAGCTGCGAATGCAGCTGAACGATGCTTCAGATCGCCGTCTCCGCCGACTTCTACAACAACCATGGATGGCGATTGCGAAAGAACGAAACGAATGGTTTGTTGCTGGTGCTCGCAGATGAACTGAGGACGAGCCGTATAAGTATAAGTAAGTAAGAGCAAAGTGAATTCACGGCTGTGGAGAGTACAGCTTTCAGTAGGTTAAGTGCACTTGTTCTTTAGCATGTTTCAAAGAGTTCTTATACTGGAACTTGGATGCTGCATTTTGGTGCTTTTCCAAGCTTTGAATGAGGCTTACGTAACTTATTAGTCAATCTTTTATGGTATTTTCATCATAGATAATCAACATACTCACCCTCATAACAAGAAGAGGTGGTTAGAATTTCAACGGTAAATCAGCTATGCTGAAAGTTTTAGTAGACAGTAAATGTCTTCAATTTCTTTTTTAATGTTAGAATCTTAATCATCTCCTGCGGCTTATCCAAACACGTCAATTTTTGCGGTAACCGGGTTTCTAATTTCCGGCCCTTTTTGATGAACTGCCTAGTACCTATGTGAACTAGTATTTCCTTTCACTACCGGTCTCATTAGCCCAATAGCTCACAAAAACTGGGAAAAATAATGTAGCTGATTGATTGTGCTCATTTTTGTTCCCAGTCCCGGACTTAACTTATGTGTGCATGGAATTTGCTACAATGAACCTACCCTGCTGGCTTTGTAGGTGTCGATCTTCTTTCGAAGTTTGTTGCCAAAGTCTGGATGTACCTACAAATTCATTTTTTATGAAGGTTGGCTTGAATCATGAGAATCTAAGGCATCAGGCAACACGAGGTGTTCATGTTAGGAGGACTATCTCCGGCGCCCATATGGTAGAAAAAAGTTGGAGCGTTCACAGCCTGGCACCTGCCGTGGCGCGCCCCGCCCGAACTAGGAATTCGTGAATCAGAAACTTCCCACCTTTCCGAAATTCTGAATTGCACGATCTTGAATGAACGATTTGCAATCCTTCATCGTCGAGAAGATGTTTTCGACAAGCCGATCTCGTTCCTCATTGTTTAACACCTGGCAATAAGGAGCATGGTAGGGCAATGTACCATATTTAGTGATATCCAAGTACCTTTTCCCAGAATAGTCGCGGTTGCTCAAAGTTGTCTTCATTGATGGACTCGTGACGAGCGACGTCTCCTTTCACACTCCACTTGCTCTCTTTCGATCTTGGACATTCCACTCCACCGTTGAAACTGTTCGGGAAGTAATTTGGAGCATTGCCTGAAATACGTGAAGGTAGAGGTCAATAACTTTTTCTTTCATGGAAAGGCTAGAGATTTTCGATGGAAAATTACCTCACTGGCAAACATTTATTATTGAATAACAAGAACAAAGAGTCTAGGGATATACGACGTAAAAGGTGAAGTACATATATGGCGCAGATTGAGAACGGTCACACTTAGCGAGTATGCTGTAGAGGATTTGTGATGTAGGAAAGAGTGGGCAGGGGACTTCCTTATCCGGTTTTAATTTTGGCGCTTTGGGTCAAGTCTAAAATCCACGTGATACGGCAAGCACAGCTGTT